GATGTACTTATGTCCGTTCCTGTTTATTGCAATACTAGTGATTTTTTGTTTTTGTTTTCATTTAGTTCAAAGAGTAGTCTTAAATGCATATTTAATTTCAGGTGTTTACTATCCCGACAATGGTATTCTCTTTTTTGAGTTAAAGTGGCTTATCCCAGTAGTAATGATTGAATTCAAACACTGTGTTTCACCAAGTCAACTTGGCACCAATAGTGGATGGGAGAAGGTTTTGAATTAAATGAATAATAACTACTTGGATAAACCGTTCTGAAATTTCTTCATCAAGTCAAATAAAGTGTGACCGTAAAAATCAAGCATTTATGTTGTCGATTTTAAAAGCACAAAACAACTGTTTTTTTTTTCTTCAGCATCTTCTTAGTTATTACTGAGGGAAAGTTCAGAAGATAAAAACACTCAGTTTCTATTTCTAACAATTGTGTATCTTAGTACTGAAAATAGTGCTCTTAAAAACTTCAACAAATTCGCTTTTGATAAAACAAATTGCTAAACAAACGCTTTTTACATCATACTTTACTTTTATAACATTTTATTATTAAAACTTTCAGTACACCCCTTTGAGTTTCAGAAGACGGCTGAGATTCAATGCTGATATATTTGCAAAACTCGTAATAATCTTTTTCCTGTAGTTTTTTCTCCTATGAAAGATCTTGAGTGACTAGATTTTTACATTTTAATACCACCATGCTGCAGTTGTTGCTGTCAAAATAATGGGAAACTCATGATAGGTTCCAATGGTGTCATTTCTTATGTTACAATGTGCAGCTGGACTTTGTTTGTTTGTTTGTTTTTTGTTTAGAATGTTCATGCTAAGATACACAAGGGCTATCACACGAATATCTCTACTTTTGAAATTATAGACTAAAGGGAAGACACCGAATTCATAGCACCAACCACCAATTCTTAGGCTACTCTTGTCCTACCGAATAGTTGGATTTGACCTTCACTCTTATAATGCACCCACAGCCTCACAGTGTGATTTTTTTGCAGAAACGAACGAGAACCATGAACTCTCTAATTCACAGTCCGAACACTGCTGGAATTAACGATTTGTATGTTAATGATATCACAATGTAACTAACTGAAGGTGATTGGCCCAAGATAAGCAGCAACGATACCATTTTTGTACGTTAACGTTTACACAAAGTAATAAACTGGCACAATGATAGACATAAGATGAGCAGAAGTTCGACATTTTGTGTGTTAAAGTCTGAAAATGATCATTAATGATACCATTTGCTACGGTAATTTATATATGCAGTAGTCAACTGGACTGAGTCCTTTAAACTTAAGGAACGTAATAATGACGACCGTACGCACACATAGAAATAAAGTTGAATAAAACTTATATTTTCATATTAAAAAGAAGATGAAAATCGTGACAAAACTCAAGAATTTGTATGTCAGTTAAGGTTTTTTAATTTGTTTTTCAAAGGTTCGTGGCTAAAGACGTAGTCAATTTAAGGTTGTTGAATTAAATGAGGAAGAGAGATAGAAGTACTGAGCTATTCCGCTACTTAGCTAATTTGAAGAAATAGTATTAAATGAAGTGTGATAATAATTTAGATTTTAAGACACAAGTGCTTGGAATCTTACTAAAAGCTTCCAATGAAGATGAAGTTAATGTAGATACGTTTAGTAGTTGGAAACCTCTTTAGCTAGGCCGCGTATTTTATTTTACCAACCATCATGCCCTAAGTTGAACAAAAAACGTGGCCTGGCTAACTAATGAATGAATATTTGCTGTAAAATTCTTATCAATGCTATAAGTGTAGGTACTAGTCTGGCCACTAATTTTGATTTCATTCCTTTAAGTCGCACGCTGAATCTTTCTTTGGCCTTTTTTTTTCTCACCTGTCGTGTTTTTGATTAGATATATATATATGTATATAGAAAGAGAGACAGGGAGTTTGTGTGTTCTTTATGAGCCAGTCACTCGTCCTCGTCAGGTCTTACTGTTTATATATTAAAGGAACTTACAAGTGATATGTGGGTGACATTACTAAATATTATTGATGGAATACGAAACCATTGTTTAGAGGGATTATTAGACCTATATACAAAGTAACTTCAAACTTTGTCATACAATGCTAATTAAACTGTGGGAAGCATAGAACAATTCATATCAAAAAAAGACTGCAGTTCACTACTACAAATGGCTACTTATTTGATCTTTGTCTAAGGTTACTGATAAGAAATGTGGATTCCTGCGAAACCAGTCCTAAACATGTGACAAAGATCAAGAATGGGTTGGACCTTTCGCTTTGAAGAAGAAAAATATCATTATTTCAAATAGTTTGTTTGCCTGATAATAAGGGAAAATAAATTACTAACGTAAATGCAATTATTCTCCGAATACCGATATTAATATTGGTTACACGTAGTGAGTAAAGGACAACTAAAACATCTTTCAAGTAAACAGATGTTTCCCAGAGGCCCGAACTTGTTTTTTTTTTTTTTTTGCATGTCCTTCTTGTGGAATTCGAAGAAACCAGTCTAACGTGATGGGTATGTGACAAATTCAAGAATAAACCAAGGCTCTAGTATATTGTTCAACACTTGGGTATGACGAAATGTACGACGATATTGTTAAAAAACGACTTTTTACTGAGGCTGTTCAGGATTTTATCGACTTAAAACAGCCTTAAGCTTTGTAGCATAATGAAAACTTTTAGAATACATCGGTGTTTTTAGATTTTTTGTGTGCAAGTGTATAATTTTCCAACAAATAAAAATTATTTTCATACACCTGATAGAGATATGCTTAATTAATATGTATGGCAGACACTGATAAAAGTAACAGTTTTTAGAAGTTATAGGCTCCCTGAATTTAAACGCCAATCGGCAGTTTTCATTCCTGACACGGTGAGAAAAGGTTAAGTTCGAAAAAGCTCCCACGGAATATTAATCCAATCTTCTTACGAAACACTTTCATTATTCAGAGTGAAAATATTACACGTGATTAAAAGAATCCGGATTTAACAGAGAAATTTGTTTTGTTGTTAAGCACAAAGCTACACAATGGGCTATTTGTGGATTTTTCTTGAAAGCAGGAACATAAAATGTTGATCTTCATGCAGTGAATTCAGTTTGAAACAAAACACTTTCACAAACTTAGTGTGAAAATCGCTTTTTTTTACCCCCCGATTTACATTATTAATTTATCTAGAATAATTCAGTTATTATAGTGTAGTTTTTAAACAAAAATATCTTAGCATCTGCAGAACTCAAGTTCTTTGAACAAACTGTTTAGGATAAATTACCATAACTAATCTTGTCATTTATAGAAATGACTTGGTCTTTTTCCACAAAGACTTAATTCTCGCTGACATATTCTTTGATACCAATTACACGTAGAGGCTCATGTGTTTTGGTTACAATCGCGTTACATATTTTATTAAATTTTAATTAAAATATTTTAAGAAGTAATAAAATAAAAAGGACAGTGAACATCTTAAAGCTATAACAAGTTGACGTCATTAGTGGAGATGGTGAAAAGAGTTGAGGGAAAATGCTAAATGTTTTTATATTGAACTTTAGGTTTAACTCTATGTTTCACATCTGAATTGATTAATTTGCTTGTTGTTAAACGCTAAGCTACACAATGGGCTACCTGTGCTGTGCCCACCATGGATATCGAAACCCTTTTTGTTTTAACGCTATAAGTTTTTAGACTTTCCGCTGAGCCATTGGAAGAAAACTGATTAGTTTTGTACATCTTGATTTTTTAATTTTTGTTCAGAATGTTTAGTTCTTAGTATTGGAAATCTCAAATGTGTTTATGTATTCAGTTAGTATACTTGATTTTCATCCTTAAGTTTATGAGACCACTGAAAAATAATTATTAAATTATACAAGTAATATAAAAAATTACAATTGAAACAACAAATGATAATGATAATATTTTATCTGAACATTTATCGTTTAAGCTCAGTTTCAAGGTCCTTTAAAAATCGTTTGTTTATTATTTTGTTTGTCAGGCTCATTATTTCGCAAGACTACATGTTATGTTTTTAAATTGGTTGGTCCATTCTTTAGTTATCAAAATACATTAGTCATGCATTTTGTACATCATTTTTTGTATTCGTTTACTAAATCCTCCGAGTTTTTGTTTTATACGTGTACGTTGTTTAATATCTTATTTTATACAGCTTACGCGCAGGTTACCATCTTGGGCGATGAATCAGAAGATTCAAAGTTTGCGTTCGATTTCCCTGAAACGATTCACAATTTCAGATATGGGCGCTTTATAAGAGTGGCAGTCAATTCCGTTATTCGGTTTTAAAACCTGACAAATCCCTTGTGACGGTGAGTGCTGCTGAGTGACTGCCTTACCTCTGGTCAGTAGTTCAAAATTATACTGAACATTAAAAGTTTCTGACTTGACCACTTAGCAGGAACAGCGATAGCAGCTAGATAGAAATTGAGATCGTGTTCCTACTCACACTGGGTCACCCAAGTATTTCGCGCTGTAGGTAGTTGCCTATCCTTAATGCCGTACCTGCAATTTAGCCTATATATGCATAACGTGCCATTCAGACTGCAGATAATAATACCTACACTAAAAAACGAACCATATATAATCTAAATTTATATGACTAATATCTATGATTAATTAATATTAATTGTAAAACATAAAATTAAAAGTAGTATAGACTCATAAAAGAACATGTCATTGATGTCACCACTGATTGGCAAACATTTTCAGAAAATGTAGGTTTCATATACTCCAATCCCGCAACTTGCTATCCTGATTCTTCCGGGGTAGAGATGAAACTTTATCAAAAATCAAGGTCAGTACAATCAAATAAGCCTTATGGTTACACAACCAGAAGATTTACTGATAGTAACCTACACTTGTATTATTATATAACTTTAAATTCGATGACGAGGAACCCACTTTGAGACTAATAATGGCTGGAGACGGCTTAAATGGGTAATGAAGAAAAACTTTAATATAAGTTTAACATGACAGCAAATGTACAACGTTTCGACAAGGTTTTGTCATCATCAACTTTGTTTTTGCACTTCAACAGAAGAGGAGTGTTCACGTATCATCACATCGTATCTGTATTTAATAATTCACGCAGATATCCACGATGATTTCGTGTTGTGGTCAATAAAAAAGTTAAGTCATACCAATTGCAAATAATAACAAATGAAGCCTCAGAACCCTCTCCTGTTTATTACATAACTCACTTCATTAGATCATTGAAAGAATAACTTTGCCGTCATGCGTGATCATTCCAGCCAACAAGCTCCTACTAGTAATAACTGTCATACAACAGCAGTAGAAGTGCTACATACACATACACACACACACACACATATATATCCGTTTTATGTATTGGGTTATGTGGTTTTTCGTTAAATAAATTTTCCACACTTGTGTACTTTTTTTTATCAGTTTCTTGCATATAGGTATAAGAAATATAAATATTCAAAATTATTTTAATAAATTTATAAAAAATGGATGTTTATATGAAATGTAATCAAACAGTAGGCACTCAACTAAATAGTATTGCTATATTTATTCTAAAAAGCTGTAAGATGTATTTTAACCCACACTTTTGGACTATTCTTTTCCTCTTTAGAGCTGATATATTAATTTCTTATGATATAGCATTTTATGCATTCAGAACTTCGAGATTTCTAAGCTAACCCATTTTTAAAAGAAGTTTTTCTATTTTGCCATATACATATATATAAAAAATATACAGATAGCGTCGTAAGGTCCAGCAACCTTTGTATTAGCCTTTAACTGCGATCTGTGTGGACCCTATTACCTGGGTCAGTTGACGAGAGCTGAAGGTGACGACGATCTTTATGAGACCCGATCGTTGAGGGAACAGGCGTTCCACATGAACTATATTTTCTCTAGGCCAGATATTTCTGGAATTGTTTAAAATCATTAAAAAAAAACACAGGACTGATAAAAGTATCTGAAACGTATATTTTGGTTATTTTACACCTAGACAAAGCATGCATACGAATGGGTATGTACTCATGAGAAATTACAAATATTCAAAAAATATAACGCTATTTCTCTTGATTAATATTAACAACCTGGAAACCCAATTACATATATATAGTAATTTTTAAGTCGATTTATTGAAGTTTACTAGATTCTTGATCTCCTCACACAGATTTTGACAAAACATTTTGAAAGTTTACATATAGGTTCTTGACACCGACATAGTAATAAACGGAAGGAAACAGTTTCAAAAAAAGAGGTTTGATGGGGGTTAAAATGAGAGGTAAATGGGTTTTGAGACATCTCTGGGTTGACTGAACTGATTTATTTGAAATTTATATTAACAAACCAGGAGACGTTCAGAACAACAATATGAATATAAATTTTAGAAATGTTTAAATTCTAGCTTTAAAATATAGGTCCAATGGTTTTTAGAAACTCAAGATCGACTACACGGACTTCTTGAATATTAACTAGAATATGTAAATGTTTTTTGTTTTATTTTTTGGCATATTCTTTGTTTTCCGACAATATCCACAAAACCACTAGTATTTCGTGATTTAGCTAATTTTGAAGATAAATATACAGTTTTAGTTACAAAAGGAATTTGCATTTATAAAACGACACAAAACGTTACATATCAGTAGATAAAAACGTTATTTAAAAATAAATTATGATAATGATACACACACACACACGTTTATATACATATATAAGTTAAAAAAGAAGAGGAACCGGTATAATTTTTATATTGTTTTTAGAATATATTTGGAAGAAATAATGACAAGAAAAAATATTTAAATACGCGCATATATAATGAGTGAAATTAAAGTAACCGTGCTTATAAAAGACAATCAAAACCAATGACTTTTTAATACTAGAAATAAATGACTTTACAACACCACACATTTTTTTTTTAATTAGACACTCAACGTTTCGCTTTTCAGCTTTTTTCAGGAGCATTCCACTAAAACACAAACCGTAACTGACAGTACAAAGCATTAAAGGGTTTAAATGATAAATTCTAATCGAATCTATAGCGTGCATTTCTTCAGCGTGTGTTTGACATATTAAGTAGTAAATATTTTGATTGACGAAAAGTGTTGTTGAAATAATTAACTGCTACCTGTAGTAATCCATTTGGAACTTTGTACTGTCAGTTACGGTTTGTGTTTTAGTGGAACGCTCCTGAAGAAGTTGTAAAGGAAAACGTTCGGTGTCCAATTAAGAATATATAACAAATTTGGTGTTATAAGGACGTTTATTTCTAGTATTACCATATCTCTTAGACACCAATATGTGCACTACATAAATTAAAAACCAACGATTTGACATTGTTCTATTATAGAAGTCAATTATAAATTTTGAAAGGAAAATAAACTTTCTAACATTACATAATTAATAAACTTGCTGGACTGCCAGAGTACACAACATACATGAAACTCATTCTAATCAAAATATTAGATACTTTTTTAAACAATATATGATATTCCTATTTATTTCCTATGTTTCCTTATTTTATCACTAAGCTGAAGGAATTAAACACTCACCTAAACTTCGAGTAAAAAGAACCAGTCACACCTGGAGCTTCTACAGTGAAAACACAATTTTCTAGGACGTGATTGAGTGGATTAGTAAAGCTAATGGTCAGCATAAATGGAGCTCCCACTTTTAGAAGTCCTTGAACCTAAATAACAAATTATTATGAAAATATGTTTGTACATACCAGTTACTCAGTTATGAACTACTATCGTAGTTCATAACAGGATTCGCCCAGGAATTTCACAAAAATTCTAATAGAATATACAGGCAAAAAAACATCTTAAAAAGCAGACTTGTTCTGGAAACAACACTCAGGATCTTCTACCTCAATGGTTAATACTGCTAAAATGTTGATAATAGCAAAAAAGTTGATTTTCTGATCGTTAGACAAAATTCACCCATTTGTTCTCCATATTATTCTTGTTTCACAAGTCTACAGAAAAAACGGCTATGAATATCTTATTCAAATCTGGGCAGGCCCACTAAAAGAACTCCTGCGCAGGTCATAGGGCTATTTTTATGTTGATTCTTGAAAGATAAGGAAATATTTTATCAGTTTTTTTTTTCATTGCTGCTGGCCAATTTTCTCTTCAAAGCCATTCAAGCATCGAAGCCTACAGAAAAACAGCTAGGTATAGTGCGCCAAAATCTATGCACAGCTACTAAACAAACTGCGAAGGTTGTAGAGCTATTTCTAAGTTGATTCTTGAAAGTCGGGATTTCCACCTTCTAAATTTTTTTACGTTCTTCTTCGTTACCTACATATACCGGTAGAGTTTTGGTTGTGGTAATCAAATTGTTTAACAAATATCTAAACGATGATCCTACAAATACCATGTGTTATGGAATATCTATGATTGCACTTGACGGGAAAACTCCTGATATGGATTTTAATTAATTTTGCATACATAATTAGGATTGATTATATTGATTGCTACATTTTCCCTACTCGCTAAATGATTATTATTTGTTTTCTAAAAACGCATAATGGAATAATAAGAAGTACAAATCAGTCTGCCCCTGAAGAAGAAAGGTCCACCTTTCGAAAGCGCTGTTATAGGGTTTTTATTATTTTGTATCAAGTACAAGCCAACAGTAGCTAAAATACAGAGTTGCCATATAACAGAAGTTGAATAATTTCACCGAAAGGGTCACCTGTTTTAACCACTCGCACCACTATACAGTTATGTGTTGTTAGTCAGTCAGTAGACGCTAAAATGACGTCACATAAGGGACGTTTAACGTTGCAATTTGTATTGTCGTGACGCCAGTAAGATGTGTGTATTCGGTGAATCACGAAAATAATTATGCACTCTGTAGGCTACAACACAACATGACATATGAACTTGAAAAGCAATAAATGAAAACATTTGTTACTCTTAATTTTGGTTTTATTAACACTTGAAACAGGACACTTTCGGGACCCTGCGCAAGTACATCTAATATTTTAGTCACCTTTTCATCTATTAACAAATGCTTTGATATTTTACAACTTACCTCAAGATTCAGTTTTGGTTTTTTGAGCATGAGGTCTTCTTCTTCTGACCACGTCTGTTGTGTCTCCTTTACTGTTGCTATAGCGTAAATTTTTATCATGGCGTAGTCCACTAGTTTATTCAGATATTCGTCTGGTGATATTCTTAGAGACAATGTTTTCCCTATTGGAAGAAGAACAAATAATTTCACATCGTTATCTTACTTTTTGTTATCTTATGGATAACTCCGTTCTATGAGAGACAAAATGGTAATCATAAATCAGATATTAAAATTTAAAAACGTTTTTGAACGTTAGGATCAACAAGAATGAATTGTGATTAAACATTACTGTGTGGTTGAATGTGTGGCTGATACGGCTTACAGTACTTTGAATGGTAGAAGAAAATTGGTATAAATTGAAAACAGAGTTTCTAGCGAATTTTTAGGTACAAGTAATTTCGAAACATATCAGGTTTTTCAAAACACTGTTGTGTGACAAACTTTGTAATACTTAAATTTTTTGTGAATAAAAAACTTAATTAGAAAAACATTACTTTTTTTTTAGATTGTAATAAATAACAAATCTGACAATGGATACAATATAACAAAACTGAAACCAAGACGAGCTGAGAAATGCAATTTCAAGCAATATATAACCCTATCGAGAGATACGAGATTTAACGTTTATGAAGCTTCGAATATTTTTAGGTGTGAAAGAAAGCTAGATTTCCTCAGACGATAACTGGTTTACAACACCTGTAGGTAGACAAAAATCGTTTTGTTTTGCTTACTTTATGGCGGAAGAACGTTAAAATCATTCCGAGAACAAGGATATCTAAATACGTTCGACTTTATCCAACTATATTTATCAAAATAAGCTTTCGTGTCCAATATTGGCACCGTCTCTAGCCAGTGTCGAAGTATCCTCAAAATAAGTTTAAATCTGAAAACAATATAGTCGTATCATATACATATGACGGATAATTGTAGTAACATACTGAATATGTGGACACTGTTAACAATACAGATAAGACAACTGCAGTAGAGATAAATACTTTTGAAACAATTTGAGCAAGTTTCATATTAAAATAAAAACACTTTCATTGGATTTTAAAATTAAATTTTTGGTTTTCTTTAGAGCCTTGTGGCGTATACTATCTTTAGATCCTTGTGGCGTATATTATCTTTAGATCCTTGTGGCGTATACTATCAAAGAAACAAAAAATGTTCTGATTTATACTAAAATTGAATAATCGAATTTTAGATAAAACGAAATCAATCAAAATAAATCAAACTGAATGAAATTCATCAATTCATTATAATTCTGTTCTACTAAAGATATACCTAAACACGGACGGAGGTAGCAAAAGCTATCTTGTATGTACGTGTGTGATGGGGGTTAGAGTACATGCAAAAACTGAATATGATAACTCTGTAGGGATCAAGAGATATGGGATTTAAAAACTTCCTAATATGTATATATAAAACAAAATGCGGAAATGTTGTATATGGCAGTATTGGAGGTGTATCACGTTCTTCCCAGTTCCTCAAACTATACTAAAAATATAATATTCCCAATGATTGTAAATGAGTAACACAAAAAACCTTACCCGGTGGTAGATAAATAAAACGAAAAACTTACGTTGTTAATTAAAAAAACTGATGTTACTGATCGTATCATATCTGCAGGACAAATATCTTCAACTCTTCATTTTCTGCACGTGCCAGATATTGGACCAGTGTTCACTTTTCTTTTCATTATGTTACCCAGTGGAATTACGTGACTTTTAAATAGGATTCTTTGACCAGATCTAATTTTGTTGACAGACTTAGAGATCAGTTTCTTGTTTAACTCTTGTTTAAGTTGACTTATTTTTGGAATAGTCCATTTTTATCTTTCTACTTGCTCTCAGTGGCTCTACGACATGTCTGAGGGCTCATAACACTAAAAAACAGGTTTCGATACCCGTGGCGAGCAAAGCACAACCCCCAGTTTCATACTTTTTTTCACATGTCTGTAATAAATGCTGCAGTTGGGTCTCATAGAATGAAATCATGGAACTCGTAGCTCATGATGTACTCTGTGATGTTGTGGAAGCTGTTAACAAACTAACGAGCTGTTACCTATGGCGAGGGTCCAGATGTTTCAAGAAAAATTTCATCAACATTGCAATAAAAATCAACAACAGCCAATTTTCATGAGAAAAGCTCTAGACGTCTCGTTGATATGTTTATATTCTGATAGTGAAGGGGGTTCTCCTGAATCTCCAAAAGTATTTCATATAATGTCACGTTTCATTTGACGGATTGTTCGTTATTCTCGGGTTGTGGGATCTTGACTTAGTATGTTTTAAAGTGTGCTTCCTGATTTGAAAGCAGCAGCACCGATGGTGTTTTGAAACATATTCAACTGTTTTTTTCGCTGTTGTTCATGATATCAAAGTATCGCCAGTGCTTACGATATCAATAATTGTATCTATCAAATCTGATGGTCAACCTTTGGATACTAAGACTGTATTCAATTTCATTAACTCGTTTTCTCTTTGCTGACGAGTAAGTAATCTTCTCACTCGCTCTTCCATACAAAGAACGGACCACCTACAGTCTTGTTGAAGTCGGATGATTTGATGAGAAGTACTGGTGTTTATTAGTATGTGATGTTTTAGGTACATCCTGCTAATTATCGCAGATAGATAGGTACAAGTATATTGTCACTATTGTTTACATAATGTTAGAAATGATACAAATACTGGTAAAACACTTTTGGGTCACATGAAACGAAGAATGAAAAGACACAACCTAGACATGTTCCACAAAATTCAAAGCAATATCTCCAAAAATCAATAAACAGACTTCGAAACACGTCAATCAAAGTAACAAGATCCCAAACTCAAGTGAAGTTAAAACGAAAGATCATCCAATCAGTTAGAATGGGGGTGTGGTAAGATTATCATTGCTGGATCAAGGAAGCCCCTGTTTGTCGCAGTGCAAGAACATCAACTGGGCTTCTGAACTTGCTTGTGTTGTGACGTAAGAAACAGCCAAATAGTTTATACAGTTATCAAGACCTTTGCCTCAGATAAAATGAGACAAGCTCGTAAGTTTAAAGAGACTGTCATCTTTAAAATACTGAACATTGGCTGACATGAACAGAGGTTAAAGGGTTTCAGTGTCGTAACTACAAAAGATGGGCCCCTCCCGCATAAAAAGTAATTAAACCCTCTATATTTATTTCTCAACAACCGTAGTTACGATTCTGGGTGATTCGGGGTCCCCTTTTGTGCTCGGATCCCCACCGCAATTTCGGGGGATGCAGAGGCATACTTATGCCACTGAAGGGTTTAATACATTAATATTTAGTTTGATTTCGATTACTAACATCAATCTTTAATTAACAACCTGATTTTGTTCTTTTTATTGAGCAACTACTAGATAAAGTTTTCATAATACTAAATTTAAAACTGTTAAGAATGTTACATTTTTTATATATTTTTGGTGAAATAAAATGTTTGTGAATTGAGAGTGTCACTCAGCTTGATTTTTTGTTACTGATTTTGCTTCGTTTTATATCTTATTATTCGATTCTAGTGTAAATCTGAAACTTGGCCAACTTGTTTCAATATTGACTTTTATATGCACGTTTGTTACTGAATGTTATGTTATATTGAATTCGTGAACTGTGTTCGCATATGGAGTATGGTGCAGTTATTGTTTACGTGAATTTAGCATGCTTTATTATATTATTGACAAATTCAAAATTGCACTAAGGACACTTGCGCAGAAACCTCATGACGATTCTGGTGTTGGATAAGGTCATGTAGATATTGCATCTGTTTCCTAAGCAATAAGTACATATCATAATAAGCCTTAAAGGATATCTAAAGTTTAAGTTATCTACACTTACGTTGAGAGGGAAAGATGGAGATTGATCTCTTCTCTTGTTTCAGTTTTTTTGATGTTGTTCCTGTATAGTAAACACTAAAAACCGACAAGGAAAGTGATATTGTCCTTCTCTGGATGCCATGATTCCGAATCATTATCGTCACAACGAAAGGATGACCGATCAATACATTTTTACTGCTTTGCAAACTGAAATAAACATCTTCCTTTGAGGGCTGTGAAACATCGTATACGTGGGCTAAACCACCTCTTCTGATTGCATTCAAAAACGCATGTCTTTCCTCGTGACTATCTATAAATGAGAAAAAATACCTAGTTTTATTAAAATTTTAAGACTTTTTCTGGGTTGGTGTTGAGGTGAATGACGATCCGCTCTCTAGCTCATTGGTTTTTTAAAAGTCAAAAACAAGCAAATATAGCTACAACATGATAAAATCTGAAAGTACAAAAATTATTAATATCACCATAAGCTCAAAGGGTTCTCATATTTCTTGTTACACTAATGAAATTAGTATCAGAGACATTGCAGTTAAAAGTACCCATCTGGTATAATCAGAGTTAAAACTTGATCGGTTATCAGGCATAAAATCTCCATATAAGTTAATTCTAATTAGTATTTCTATGTAATAACGTTTACGTAAAGTAGTGACATTACTTTAAATGAGTTTACTTTTCAACGTGTACTTACCTCTTATTTCCCAGTATAACAGAGAAAACCCACAACTGAAATAATAGATTCTGGTGTGTTACAAAGGAGTCATTTTTATAATACCGACGAGCGATCAGTGTAAGATTTTGAACAGGCATTAATGATACAACTGTAGACCTATCCTGCTGGAAACCATAGCTTTTATCATTAAGGGTAAACAGTTGAATCTGTAGGTGAAACTTCCTGATATTTTCTTATAGCACATAAAGCAGGTGTTTTAATGCATTCCTTTTTTTTTCTTTTCAGCACAGGTAAATTTATATTTCTCAAGATTTTCTTTATAGAACATATGGACTATATTGTCGTTTTCCTAAAATAAACATGTTTATAAACTGTTTATGTTTCAAATTGCTTGTGAGTCCATGACTTTTTACACGGTTCCTCCTTATAATAATATGTGGGTCAAAAACACATTTAAACTAAAATTCATTGAATGTTGCAATTAGCCTTGCTAATTCTCATTGATGCTGTGATCCACTCCTTATGTATTTTACAACGAATATTAGTAATTTCACACATTGTTTATTTTCTTTTCGGTAATCGCAAAATTACTCAGTATGATGCAATATGAAGAACCCAACGATATCAGAATAAGCTGGTATTAGCAAAGTTTTTTTAAACTAACGCAAGCCGGTGATTTGAGGTTTACTAATCTGTTTTAAGTACACACAAGTTTCACTGAATGAATTAGCCTAAATGGTTTGTTTGTTTCTTTCTTGAATTTCTCGCAAGCCTACTCGATGGCTACTTGCAATAGCCGTCCCTAATTTTGAAGTAACAAACTAGAGGGAAGGCAGCTAGTCAACACCACCCACCACCAACTTTTGAGATACTCTTTTCAGACCGAATAGTTGAAGTTGACCCTCACACTTATAACGCACTCGCGGCTCTTAAGTGCGGAGCACAACATTTTTATTTTGGTGCAACGGAGTACCTCAGATCTGCAGGCCCGGCATAGCCAGGTGGTTAGGGCGCTCGACTCGCAATCTGAGGTTCGCGGGTTCGAATCCCCGTCACACCAAACATGCTCGCCCTTTCAGCCGTGGGGGCGTTATAATGTGACGGTCAATCCCACTATTTGTTGGTAAAAGAGTAGCCCAAGAGTTGGCGGTGGGTGGGGATCACTAGCTGCCTTCCCTCTAGTCTTACACTGCTAAATTAGGGATGGCTAGTGCAGATAGCTCTCGTGTAGCTTTGCGCGAAACTCAAACCAAACTACAGTTCTGCAAGCTACAGTCGTGCTGATTCTACTTGTGCCAAATGTCATCTCCATTAATCGTAAAGTTGGATTTTAGTTTATTTTTAATGTTTCTTTTATGTACAGTTATTGCGTCTCATATTTTAGTTAATTAGTAAGTGATCAATGAGGTATTTACAGTGTGCATGCTCCTTTTATAATGGTGAGCAGAGCACAGATAGCCCTTTGTGTAGCTTTGTGCTTAATTACAAACAAGCCTTTTATAATATTTATGGAATTCTTCTTGCTCAACAGTTACATATCCAGCATTGATTGGCGGTTAACATTTCAGTGATTCGTGGAAAATGAGCTATAAAGCTATAAATACGTTCATTAATGTTGCAAGATTGGTTAATTTCATTAAAGTAATGATATTTGATTGTATTGCGTTTATTGAGCTTTCGTATATTGAATAGAATGAAAAATACACATATAATTGTACCGGTCTGGTTGTCAGGAGGGTTAGGAGCCATGGTTTTAGAGGTTATATATTTAGGAGAATCCAGTTTGCTGTTATAAACGCAATCCTATGTAGAGTTTCTATTCTTCCTTATAACGTAAGTTTAAAGACTTTATCAAGCTTAAATTCGAGGGTCGATTCCTGTGGTGGGCACCGTGCAGATAGCCCATTGTGCAGTTTTGCGCTTAAAAAACAAACAAATCTCCCTTACAAAAACATTTTCATCAGTTCAAAGGCAACTAATAAAAGTTACAATATTCTATAATTGTTACTCGATTCCCTACTGAAAAGTTATTATACGATATCCATCAGCTTACAAAGAGAATGAGGACTTTAAAAAAATTAAACAAAGGGAATAAGAAATCGACCAATAAGACATATGAAAAGTGTCTTTTACCGAATTAGCAGGCTCACAGTCTCTGACTGACGCCCTCACAGCTTCAACTGACGCCCAATAGGAGGTATTCAGCGTGAATTGTTGAACTTTGTAAATGTCTAAAATTGCAAACTTGAGCCTTATCGACTATGTTTTTGCTTATCTGATGGTCACACACATCAATCTATAAATTGGGATATTTCATAAAATGATAGGAGTCGACTTTTAAACTGATATTTAAACATGATTTATATATTGTTTTTAGGTTTAAGATTTAATATTGATGTTATAGTAACTGGCGAATTATTGTATCCTGCAAATAGTTTTGTAGTAGCTACGCTGTTTATTCAGTGAGTTACTTTAAAAAAATTCAGGAACTCATATATATATATATATATATACTGTTTTTAATTAAAGAAGAAAATATTTTTTACCTTTGCTGTTCTTGTACTCGTGTGTGATGTCTTCTACATCAGCATTTCCAAAGTCATCGTCAATTCCCCTTTTCTTGGTAATTATAAGTTTTCCAATTCTTGGAAAACAAAAACAACAACAAAAGTGATAAATATTCTTTGATCGGTTGGATGAAAATTGAATAGTTGAAGATGAAATAATAAGTATTACTTCAATATTAAAGTACATAGTTAATTATGAAACGACCGTGAAAATATGTTATGGGAAAATTTAAAATGTTATCCTGTACTGTCTGTGTTGACTTTTTAGTCTATTTCAATGAAACTATACTTTACTACCAACATTCATCAATAAAGAACACTAACTGGTATCTTATTATTTTAAGTTTTCTCCAGCCACCCTTAGCAAACTCATCTTTTTGCCAATGTATGATGCGTGCGTTGACTTCAGAGAAGACAAATGATGAATCGTACAAGTAATCTATCTCTCCACGTTTCACTGCGACTAGTGAGGTGGGACCTGACCGATAGAGACCTGAAGAAAAGAAAAAATATACATAGTTGTAATTAGTGAATATTTGTTATATGTGCTAGAGGTGACAACTGTGTAGCTGTTGACAACAGTCAGAACACTACTACTGTCTGAGATATTTAGGATGTATAAGATAAAATATTTACAAGATTTTATTTTTCACAACAAAATGCAATGTAGTGTAGTTCGTTGAAGAGTGTTTAGATAATCTTGGGTTTAGTACCAGGATGTACTGGTTCTGAAAACTAAAAGAAGACAGCTTTCACTGTTTAGATAATCCTCGGTTTGCTACCACGATGTAGTGGTGGTGGAAAACAAAAGAAGACTGCTTACAGTATTTAGATAATCCTGGGTTTACTACCA